ACTTCAAGTATGAAAGATACTGCAGGGATTTGGGGTTCAGGGCTTAGGGTTTTGGGCTGCATTTCGGGATAGATGGGAGGACCCTCCTTTTTTAAAGGAACATTTCAATCCGGCCTCTGTAGAGTCCGCCTGCGAGTTCGTTCATCTGCTCCGGCCTCGCAAGCTAAAGTGTAGGATTTGAATTGAAAGAGTTTTGGGGTTCAGGGTTTAGGGCTGAGGGGGGTTGAACCCACTCTAGGGTATAGGGGTATATAGGGATATATAGTAGAGAATGGAAACGAACCTGAACCTACTATATCATCCAGGGATAGGGGTTAGTGTTTTGTGGTGGTTGAACCAAGTCTGGTAAATGCTATAACCACCCGGAGGACGTACTCTTACTCTCAATTGTGCCCTGTAATATCCCCAGCAGAATGCTACGCAATTGGTTAAGGTTTAGGAGACTAGCGCTTAAGTAGTGTGATGCACAATTGCGTTTGCCTGCTCCTGAACCTGTATAGTCGTTTGGCCTGAATGCTTAGAATCGCCAACAAGTCAGGAAGCCCTACTGCGGAATGCGAAGAGACTAACATTGCAGCTTTCTACATTACTGCGGGAATCCTACCTTTCGTAGCGGAACTGAGGAATTCCCAGCCAGACACATCGCGCAAAAAACTGCTTGTCTGGCACTTACGGTCTCCGTAGGATAAAAGCTTCATTCTTATCTTATCCCCGATTAGCAAGGAATCAAGGAATAGATCTTACTGGTAGTCCCCGTATGACCACCCCAAATGGTAGTTTCCATGTTCTTTTTGGCGACCCAGAGGATTTACAACCCTATCGTACATGTAGTATAGCCCGGGATAAGAGTATGGTTGGGCTATAGCTACAATACAATTCGTTACTCTGGGCCTCCAAGAATGGGCCTCCAAGAATGCACTTAATCACCTTGGACGGTCCTGTGTCCGTATAACGCTGTATACAGCAACGAGGTCTGAGTCTAAGAAATACTCAGCATACCACAAATCAGTACACCTTAATCTTAAAGGGCCCCAAAAGGGCGAACAAAGGGGAAACTTTTGTATATCTCTGAACTACTGTAACTATAAAGTATCATGGAGGGTATGTCGAAAGTCTCCTTGAATGAGAAAACCTAGCGCGCGCCATGTCGAGCCAGTGCCATTTCCACCATCACGGCCTTTTCAACCAAGAGCACTATCTTGGGGCCATGCCCATGAGGTCCTCATGAAACCCTGAAGAACACCCACAAGCAATCTTGAATAGCATGTGCTCCTCCATAACCAGGTAGTTCCTATTTGGGAAACGTGTAACCGGGATCCTCCATGCCTCCTATTCTGCCTTCTTAAGGAGAACTAAACCCTAGACCAGATGTACCCACAAGAATCTTCTAGCAACCCTATCAACCCTCAACCCTTAACCACAGCCCTCTGAAGAGCCCGAATGTACGATCATGGGTAGATAAAGCTATAAACATTTGTGGGACAACTATCACCATTCAAAGAGCTGAACTCCATCCATGCCCATGAAAGGTTGGACTTTCATCTATGACTCAAGGTTGGTTCGGGCCACATTTGTTGGCAATTGTATTAGGCTCCTATATACTCCTAGTATCTCCTAGTATTGATGTAATGTCCAAGCCCTCGACCCTATAGACCCTATACCAGCAACGCGGACCTTCCAGCGCTCGCACAGCGCGCGGCCCCAAGCAACTTCTCAGCTCAAAGCCAATGGCGGTACACACACGGAAACAGAAGCTTTAAACAGAATTCCATGAGGCTTATAAAGGGATTACATAGAGGTTTGAGCGGGTGGGGTTTAGGTTCATTACCCTAATCCAGAATCAAATAGAAAGGACAATGGAAAGTGAAATGGAAACTAGGACTATGTAGTTTTTTAAACAAACCTCCCCTAGTAACCCCCATTAATCATGAATACTCACAGTTAGTACCGTTGTATACTGGAAGGAAGATTCATGGTCAAGGGGTGGCGGGGTATTCATCGATGATTGGCGCTCGTCCCCAATAAAGCTTGCGAAAATCACTCAATACCCCTTGTTCGAGCTGGGGGGCCAATAGAGTATGGTGAGGCCAGGAAGCATGAGCTATAGTCTAAACTCCTTAGAGGGTGATATACAGGGGATTATATAGGGTAGTATTTTGGGGGGTACTAAGAGGGATGCTAGGAGTTTAGACTATAGCTTCGATGGTTTTGAAGGCCCAGCTTTTGAAAACAATGCCAGCCTCTGCTACTTCAAGATCCTCAGGCTTGTTGTCTGGAATCTCCTCCTACGACCCTATGTAATCCCTATATATATATATATCTCTCTCTCTCTCTCTATAAATCCCGTATATAACCCTATAGAAACCCTATAATAATCCCTACATGATTTCATATTAAACAGCTTTTTCGAGACAGATTTGCGTTGTAGGTCTATGTACTTGTAGAAGTGCCTACGACGTTGCGTATCTCGCCCCCGTATCAGCACCCGTACAGCTGACAACAGCTCTTCCAATTTGAAGTGTGTACGAGAAGCTCTGAAACACAGCCCAATTAACTTGAGAGCTTCGTTTTCATCATGTCTCACATGGCGTGGCGCACTACAACTGAAATGGCGCTGGCACTGTCATGTGGCACAATTTGTCTTTTACCGTTTGTTTCTCTTGGCTTTTTTGGACTTGTGTTCCTGGCACTCACTACAGTCATGTACGGGGTCTGGCAGAAAAACATCAGCCTGTCGTGCGACGCGAATGAAATGATCCATGAGAACTGTGCTTATGGTGGCATGCACTCGTGGCTTTAGCTCTTGCAGTTTCTGTCCAATAGACCTGCGACGATACGATGATCATCGGCTGCCAGTATAAGTGATCTCAGAGCGCGTCTTACCTTCTCACCATTGGGACCCTTTTTGAGATTTCTCGTCTCATGAATTGTTATGAGAACTTCGCGAACAAGGTGGAATGTATTGAGAGTACATTATTTTTGGAGCTCCGTTTGATTTGAAGGCTTGTCCGTTTCTGCTTGTGTGTCTGCTAAAGTGTCAGGCCTCCTCCTCTTCCTTGAAGGGGATTATGGGGGTTATATGGGGTTATATGTGATAATGGAAAAGAAAATGGAAACTACTACTGTTGATACTAAAAATCCTGCATGACCTGATATATACTACAGTCCCATTATTCCCAAGGTATAAGGTACTTAGGGTCAGCATGATTTGTAGTATCCACGGTATCTAAGCTTAGGGGTTTAAACCCCACACCTTTCCAGTTCCTGCTTTTTGCTCCGCCGCCCGGGAATCCTGGTCTTTCAGACTCCCGTGGCAGCATCAGGCTGCGCCGAAATCCGCCCTGCCAGTGTGGGTTTGAAAGATCGGGGATTAGGGTTTAGGGTTCAGGGATTAGGGTTTAGGTTTTAGGGTTCAGGGTTTCAGGATTAGGGATTAGGGTTTAGGTTTTAGGGTTCAGGGTTTGGGGATTAGGGTTTACGTTTTAGGGTTCATGGTTCCGGTTTTGGGTTTAGGGGAGGGCAATGCATTCACGTTACAGACTCATCGGACTGTAGTGTAATGGGGCCTAGACAACTACCTAAAACAATTTGAGGTCTAGTTGAGGTACCTTGTACCATAATCAGACAAGGAACACAGGACCAATTGGTAACTATTTAGGCGCCTAAACCCTATTATAAGATAGTAGTTTCCATTTTCCCAATATAAACCCTATATAGTCCCTATATAACCCTATATTTGGCAATGTGTAATTATGAAGGCAAAGTTTGCACCTCAGGGTCGAGAGTTGAGCTCTTCCATGCATGTCTGGATCCACATGGCTTAAGTTTATACACGGCAGAGCAAGAAAACATGTGAGCTATAGCCTAAACTCCTAGTATCCCCCTTAATAACCCTATGGAAATCCGCTATATAATCCCCTATAAAACCCCTTCAATGATTTTTCACTATAGCTCATATAACCCCTAAACCCGAAATAGTAGTTTCCATTTTCTTTTCCATTATTACATAGAATCCCACATAACGCCTATATAACCGTATACTATTCCTTATAGTATTCCCTAGTTTCCATTTCATTTTCCATGTTCTTTTCCACTATCCCCTCCTATAACACCTATAACCCCCCTGTATAACCTATAACGAGTTTCTCATGCATAGCCAAACTTAGACCCGCACACGGGGTTATTTAGGGATTCTGTAGGGGCTATATGGGGTATATGTCAGGGTATATAACGGGTATATTAGGGCTTTATAGGGATAATATAGGCATCCTATACTGGTTATACCTCCACAGTGCAGATATGGAGGCCAAGAAGAAATGCAAAGTTTGGTAGCTTTCCGAAATTAGGGGTACCGTTAAAGGGGATATAGGAGTTAGATAAGGGTTATATAGGGATAACTTTCTTGGGAGTCACTATAAGAAGGGTGCATAGTTTTTTGGGGTCTGTATTGGGGTTCCCTTATTTTGAGAAACTGCCATATGAGCCATTGTCTAAACTCCTAGTATCCCCCTTAATAACCCCTATAGTAGTCCCCTATATTACCCCCCTATATAATCCCCCTTTAAGGAGTTTAGACTATAGCTCATATGGCTGAAGGACCAGGTGCTTGAAACCTCAAACCAAGGATTAACACAGAAACCAGTAGGATGCTGCCTGGCAGGAGGCAGTGTTTAGGGACATATATGTATATATATATATATGGGGTTCTATAGGGATATATATATATATATATGGGGTTCTATAGGGATATATATATATATACATATATGGGGTTCTATAGGGATGTATATGTATATATCTATGGGGGCTATATATAGGAGTTCTTTTGGGAGACTGGAGAAGAAATTGGAAGCTACTATCTAGGGTTTCTGGTTTAGATGGAATCAGTGCACCAGGGGCTGATGCTCTTTCACAAGCCCGTTTTCCTGTCGCGGCTATAAACGTCAAGTGAAGAAGAGGAAAGCTTCCTCGTATCAAGCGTTCATCAGCACACCTTGCGCTCACGTTCGGCGGCATCTTTTTGATGAGCTCAGGAACTCGTACAAGTCAGTGTCCGCCTCCTCCGCAGCAAGCTCCAATAACTCCTCTCTGTGTTGCTCAAGGAAGTCATCATCAGCCTCAATCAGCTTAGCAAAAATCTTCATTTGCGGGGCTCCATGGCCCTGAGTGCAGTTGGCGAGCGCGCACCGCAAAATCTTGCCAGGATCCTGCAAGCACGCTTCTGGGACGGATGCCCTGGCCTTAAGCAAGCGCTCGACGCAGTGGACATTCCCCTTCTGCACTGCAAACATCAACGACGTATATGATTGCTCCCCCTTCAGATCTACAATAGCCTGGGCTCTTAGAAGCTCTGCTACGAGATCCTGGCACAGGGGTTTTGCAGCAAGATGGTGAAGGGCAGAGTTGCCAATGTCATCCGTCAAGTTAACCTCAGCTTTGCCCTGAATCAATATGTTCACAAGCTGCGGCAAATTCTCGGAACATGCTCGGATCAAAGCAGTCTCTCCTCTCCAGCCACGCTTGTTCACCAACGCCGGGCCGCAACGGGCCAGAATTCTGTTGACCACCTCCATCATGTCCTCTCCAGTTGCATCCCCAACCGTTGGCAAGTGGCTTCTGGAGTTTCTGCCTTGTGTCATGGCCAGGCATGCTTTCAGAAGGGGCGTGTCGCCACAATCATCTGTTTCCAACACGCTGCATCTTGCTTCAAGAAGGACCCGCGCCACCTTCGGGCGGCCCCAGGATATGGCAACATGAAGAGCCGTACCGCCCTCCGAAAGCGCCTCCTTACATCTAGAGGAAACTTCAACTCTGGCAGCCAACAGATCCTGAACCCCAAGACCTTCATTATCTGTTCGAAGCTTTCCCAGCCTACTTGAAATGCATAGCAGGTAGGACCGCAAGCTGTCACTTCCCACCTCAAAAACTCCCCATAAGCAGTCGACTGCAGACGTGAGCGACTTACACACCTCCTCAATCTGATCAGGTGTCAAACGTGCAGCCAATGATATGTAAGCCGCATTAGAGCCGCTAAGGCACTGGGCAATGCATTTGCGTGCGCTTTCAACCTCCGCATTGTCCCTCTTCTGCCGTAATAGATAGGTCACAACTGTACCACTCACAACTGCTTGGCTGCGCAAATTCCTTTCCAACAGCACGGGGCCTTCATTTAGAACATGCAGCTTGATCTCTTGTTGGTCAGGATGGCGGAGGTGTTGGCTGACATGTTGCCGCAAGACGTCTCCTTTGCTGCTTGCAGAAAGGGAAAAGCTTCCCAAAAACTCAGCTGTCAGCGCGTGCTGCACCTCAACTGTGATTTCATCGACGCGCCCTTTCGGCATCTGACCGTGCCCAAGGCAGCTCGATGAGTCTATGATCTAATGCTTAACTGATGCTGCATGGGGCAGCTGACTACACAATTCATACTGTTTGAGCCTCAAGAAAAGCCTGATCTTCTGCAACCAGCGCACCTTCGAATTAGGACAGAAAGGGACACCTTCCTGATCTTCCGCTTCCGCCTCTCTTTTTTGGATTGCACACACACAGAGGGACACACCTTTCTGAAGCCCAATATGTGTGGCTTCTTAGCTCTTGACAGAGTACCACAAACGCTACACCACCAAATGCCCACTAATAGACATCCCAAACGCATACAGACATTACTGCTCTTCATACGGCACCTGGACTGTTGAGCTCGAAAGAAGCACTTTGCAACGCGGACCCTAGGCCTTCGTCGAGGCTGCATGCGCTAGGCTTCGAGGTTGGCGTTGCTGGCCCCGCCCACTGCGCTCCTATTGGGTTCTGGGGCAACAATGACTTCGGTAGGCATATTGAGAACACTAGCAGAACTTGAGATGCGTTGGGAGTGGGGAATATGTGGTTGGGGAATGAGAAGTTTTTCCGCCATTTGGGACCCCGCGACCACAAGATCCAAGTGGCATATGCTTGAGGAACGACGGTCCCCTGTGCTACTGTTGAAGTGTAACATGTCCATATTAGCTATAGTCTAAACCCCTATTATCCCGCTTGATAACCCCTGAAATACTGCCCTATATTATCCTCTATATAACCCCCTGTAAGGAGTTCAGCCTATAGCTCATCTCATATCCCTGACAGACCCAACCTGAACTCGCCTTCGCATTATGAACAGCCCCTCACCATAAAATGCTCTACGGGAGACCCTAGATTTCTGGAGGATGATGGTTTTGGGCTTTGGGTCCCCCCGTCCACATCCTCGAGCATTTTTGTAAATGGCTATATAGCCCTTATTATAAGGACTCCACAAAGGTACCCCAAATTTTGGGAAAACCCCATAGGCCCTCTCTAATGGTTTAGGGTTTAGGGTGGGGGGGAGGGGAGGCGCATATCAAACCTTCTGAAAACTGTTCCCATAAACCCTAAATAATCCCAGTCTGCATTAGAATGTTCCCTTTTCTTGTTCCAGTTGATTCTCCATTCTTGGGGGGAATGTCTCCCTACAAACCCAAAACTATCCCCCTCTAAAATGAGCTATAGTCTAAACTCCTAATATCTCCTCCAGGAAGCCCTATAGTACACCCCTACATAGTCCCCTATCTATCCCCATTTGAAGAGTTCAGACTATAGCTCAACAGACGTCCTGAATGCAAACTTCGGGTTCTTCTTTGGCGGCGACATGCTGGCAATGCGCTTGCGCCCGGCAAGAAGGTTGTTCCTTGGATATGGGTTTTAGGGGGTTAGGGTTTAGGATGCTCACAGAATCAAAGGAGTTTTCATTGAGGAGAACGTAAGGGGCACGCCGAATTGCAACAAGGCCCTGTAGCGCCAATGAGGTTCCCTGTTGCAGCAATGTTCACATACGGGGTTCTGAACAAACACAGGTCCTCTGAGGGGCGAATCAAAAGCATGCCTCCCATCCCCTGAAACATCCCTATCCGAAGACCCATGTGGGAAGCATCATTGAGGCCCTTGTTGCTTAGAGACATCATAGCTCAAATCCTAAAACCTAAGCTGTCCTAACTAAACTTCTGGCAATTTCCTATCCCCCCTACTGACCCCTATAGTAGTCCCCTACATATAATCTCCTCTATAGCACTCTTTCAGGATTTTAGAGTATGGCTCATGTGAAGGCTTGTTGGCCCTTTGGGGGTGGTGCCCTTAATCAATCTCAATTCACCCCAAGTATCCCTGAATAACCTTGACCCTTAACCCTAAACCGCACCATGATGTAAGGCAACGACTCCCTGTCATGCGCTACTATCCTTTGGAAAGATGCAATGTGGCGGTGAAATGCATAAGGATTATATGAGGATTCTATAGGGATTATATAGGGGCTACATGGAGATTCTATAGGGACCATACAGAGGCTACATGGGGATTCTATAGGGATCATATGATTGGAGGCTATTTCAGAAGGACCTTTGATGCTTTAATCATCAAAGCTTGATCAAACAGCTACAAACCCCTTCCTCTGAGAATGAAACCTCCACTCCCAAATGAGAAACGATCCCAAAGGAATACCAGCATGTAAAACACAAGAGCCCATTCTTTGGGCGATGAGAGATGAATTTTAGTAGGGCCAGGGGGTTGCCCGGTAACCCTCATCTCAATGCTCTGCAACGAGAGGCCAGATTTGGATACACGCGTCCACTTCACGCGCACGGTGGATGTCCGAGATCACTTGGTCGTAGCCTGGGCGAGTCTTTAGTACGGAGGCAAGACTAAAGAAGTGGCCGTACTACGTCATAGATTTCCTACATTAATTCTATCCCTATGGGGATCACGTCACGAAGGGATTGAGGGTTCCCCAACAAGGATTCTGTAGGGCTAGTTTTGAGAAGTTCCCATATCTGCGCCTTTTGCGCAAACGATGACTGTAAATATGATGGGCTTGGAGGACGGGAGGTGGGCGTGCTCCCTACAACCCGACAACATATGAGCTATACTCTAAACTCCTAATATCCCCCAAAATAACCCTCTACTTGCAGCCCTATGTAAGTCCCCATGCAGCACCCTCTAAGGGCTTCAGACGATAGCTCATAGCTTCATGATACCCCTTGATGCTGGAGAGTAGGACTTCCGTTTCTTGTCCGTAAGACCACATAGGATCACATCCTTGCCCGCGAACTACCCACTAACCCTAAACCATGAAGCCTAAACCCTATATAGCCCCATTATAATAGTTTCCATGTTCTTTTCCACTGTCCTAATGTAACCCTAAAATGAACGCCTAGTAGGAGCCACAAAATTGGATCATCAGTCTCCCCTTACCCCAAGACACGCGGTTGAGGGTCTAAGAGGGAAAAATGACGTAAATCCTCCTACCCCCATGTCCCATCTTTTTTGGCGCTTACTATAAGCCCACCATTATTCCTATGTATCCCTCTATGACCCCAAACCCTAAGCCCTCTATGCCCCTATATCATGCCTGCTTCAGCAAGGCAGCTGATGTCCAAGATGTTGGCCAGGCTGAAGGATGCGCAGTCCTAGTATAACCCCTCACATGTCTGCCTCGACCTCTAAACCCTAAACTAAACCCTTTTGGGGCTAAGAATGTAGGGAAAAAGGCTGAGGGATTCAGGATTAAGGTTTAGGCATTGGATGATTAGGATTGGGGGGGAAGGCCGACGAGTGGTGAGGCTTTAGGGCTCAGGGTGTAAGGAAAGGAAGTTACCACATGAACCATAGTCTAAACTCCTAGTAGCCTACTCTATAACACCTATAATATTCCCCTATATAACTCCCTAAACCCTACATACTTTTAAGCATGATGTTGTTCTCACTGTTGAGGAACCCCCGAATCATTGTCCTGAGATGGGCAACTACCCTTGCAGGAGGTCTATATGGGGGTTCCCCAAAAATTACGGATACCCTTTTGGAGTCCCCATGATAAAGATTATAATGTTTCAGGTTCGATATTGGGGTCCCTCTATTCAAGGAAACTATCATATGTAGACCTCATGCAGCCCCATGACCCTTGTATGAGCTACAGTCTAAACTCCTAGTATCCGCCTAAAATAATCCCATATAACAGTCTCATTTATAATCCCCTATATAACCCCCTTTGAGGAGTTTTAGACTATAGCTTGTGTGGGTCTTTTATGGGGGTACCCCACTGTTGGCTACTCACTGGGGGGCTTCCCTCGATCGCTGCAACGCATCCCACTTGGCATGGCAACGTACTCCTAATTACTGGTAATGTAGACCCATGTCTAATAAACTTCCTCCTTTTAAGGGCCTAAATATTAGGATCCCGATTACAATCCCTATAAAGGGGAAGGGGATCAATCAGGGGTCTGGGTTAACCCGCAGGGTGCTTACACCAGTTGGGCTGCCGGCTGGGGCTTTGCGCTTTAGGGTCTGTAGCTTCATGATTGGATCATTGGAAGTAACGTCCAAGTACATTCGATCAAGGGCGAAGACGTCTGAGTTTGGGATGGGGCACTAGGGTCATTGGGGCAAGCACCATTCCGTGTAACGTACCCCCAGGTTACATTCATCCCACACAGCCTGAGGCCTTTAGTGACACAAGGACCGTTGCTGTTATGCATGGCCGGCCAAGGTAAGCCAGCTATCAGGCAGAGCTTTGTAGCCAACCCCCATGCATACTAGCGCTTCAAGCCCGATCTGCGTAAGGAGAAGAACCCAGACACACGTCAAACCCCACTGCCAGCCCCCAACCTTGCCTGATCCCGTCAAGCAAGCCACCCAGGTTTTGAGCTAACAGTAATAGTAGTAATAATAAGAGTAATAATAAGAGTAATAGTAATAGTAGTAGTAATAGTAGTAGTAGTAGTAGTAGCAGCAGCAGCAATAACAATAATACTAGTAACAACAAGGATAATAATCGTAATAATGGTGAAAATAATGATAAAAATTACTGGTACTAATGGTCCGTGCTTTCAAGCGAATTGACACCAAGGTTGGTGTACAGCCTGCGTGGGTGGGGTGCATAAGAGGCAGTAGGCTTCGTTTTCAGTGTGTTCCTAACCCTCCCTGTCGCCTGTCTATGACCACTGCTCAGGGCTCGATAGCGCCGGGTGTCGGTTTTGGGCTTTATAGTTTGGGATTTAGGGTCCAAGAACCCCGAGCGAAAGATGGGCATTATCGTGGCATTAGTTGCAAACGTTTGCGTCTTGAGACGTCGGAGAAGAAACCGAAACGCCCCAAACTTTCAGCCCCAAGCCCAAAAAACAAAAGCCCCTCAACCCGAAACTGAAAGCCAAAAGCCCTTCAACCCCACATCCCTAAATCAGAGCCCTAGACCTACACCTTGAACGTCAGAAACCCTAAAAATCTAGCCTTCAACCATGATGAACCCTCAGCCCTAAACCCTAAACCATAACTGCTTTTGTCCCTGAGCCCGGTCCCGCTCAAGGCCCTCTTCGGCCTTCAGCAGCTCCTGGGCGCGACTTCTTTGATATGTAGGGTTTAGGGTTTAGGGCTTGGGGTTTCGAAAACTAAGGGCACCTTACAAGGCAGCTAGAGAGGTTATATACGGGGTTATATAAGGGCTATGGCATCAAGTAATGAAAAAGCCTGACGTCGCTACGCAAGCGACGGCGAGCCGACTAAATCTAATGCGCGCTCACAGCTGCGCTTAGTGGGACGATGGACAAAGGATTTGTTGCCTTATAGAGTCAAATACGCAGCGCCGTCCAGCAGCGCACGGAAGTGTAGGATGCCGTGCTAAGAACAACACGGATGTGCGTCTGAAAGGCGACTTGCCGTGTAGGTTTAAGTCGCTCGTAGTCACGATCATTAGACGGCATTGCCCTTTCCGCCCTTGCCGGACTCTCCTACGCCTTTGCCTCTCCACGATGGCTCACTTGCATCACGCTCGTGCTTGAGGCGCTGTTCCACCTAAAGAAAGCTGGCTTCAGTTCAAAATCACGCTACAATTGCATATTGAGTTGCCTGGTGGCATAGCTCTCCCGGATGAGGGGCGCCTGACATTTTGGCTGTGTGCTGCACCGACTTTGACGGAGAGCCTCGGCTTCCGGCCGGAAGCACGAGCGTAGGACATCTTGAAGAGATTTATGTCTCCATCTGCCTGATTGCTGCTTGCATGTCAGGAGTGTCGAGACCTAAGTGGCGATCCTGGCCTGGGCTTTCGACCATGCTGCAAAGTAGCTAGCCTGGAGCGACCCGACCGGATCTCGCTCGTGTCCTTGGACGGCACGAGTGCCTCGCATTTTGAAGATGAGTGACAAAGCAAACTAACAGATGATTCGAATTCCGCCTGCTCGAAAGTCTCGCTTCATCGACTCTGCCGCAATCGCCTTCATCATGGTTTCCAGCTCTCGGTCGGAGAGTCCTCGAGTGCTTTGTGAGTTTTCTACTTCTTCAGAACAGCTAACCGCGGCCTGCACACAGCTTCGTCGCTTCGATGGACATGATCGGAGTGGAGTCTAAACTATCTCCGGCCTTTTGTTTGTTTAGCAAGCGGCTCCGGAGAAATGCGTGGGATCATGCATGAGTAACACTGCACAAACTGTGGAGACATCCAAAACCTCGCGGAGTAGGAATTTGAAGAACTGTATGTCAGTACTCAGTAGGTGGATGTTGTGCTTCAGATTTCTCAACCCAGAAAATCCACGTCTAATCTCGCAGATGCATCGCTAAAGAATGAAACCATACCCGTATAAGCGATATCTCGTACTGAGGAGTGAATGCATTTCGGAAACTTAACAACCACACCAATGCAAGGCACGGGCCATGGCATGTAGAAGCAACAACGCGTATCTTTTTTGAACTCGGCCATCGCCGAAGATGAGTCAGAAAATGTCGCTGTAAACTGACGGCATGCGTGGCATTGTCGGATACTACTGGTTGAACGTGTCTAGAACGTCACTAAGACACACGGCCCGTCTGCATCAGGGAAGCTCGTTGCTGCTCTAGGTGCGGAAACGTACCTCGCACGTGCAGCTTTCTTTTCTGAGCTACACGCGAACTGCATGATTTCGCTCACTTTGAACAAGTCCCATGCCTGCGGATGTGGTAGCAATGTGTTCCTGTGAGTGTATAAACACTGATTGGTGGTCTGGCCTGGCAGACGGCCGATAGCTGTTCGCGTTGCCAGGCTTGCAGTTCCTCTTGGCCTCATGCGGATTTCCAATTTTTGCATGCTGCCCATGTGGTTCTCGAGGTCGCCGCGAATGGTGTGCCACTCTTCGTCCGTGAAGGGTGGTACCGCATCCAGGTCCGTCTCCAGGTGGAGACGGCCGTTGTGCCATAGGTACCACCCTTCCACTGCACCGCCTGCTCGCGGATGCCAGACCTGTCACAGGTTGTTGCATAATCAAACATGCCATCTTACAGCGCATCAACTTGGCACCTCGGTATACGTCCACCCTCTTCAGAAGGGGATATAGGAGTCATGTATGGGGCTTTGTAGGGGTTATATAGGGCTTAGGGTTTCCAAAAATAGGAGCACCGTTAAAGGGAGTTATAGGGGTTACACATGGGTTTTATAGGGTTTAGAGTTTAGGAAATTAGGGGTACCTGTACAGGGGCTATAGGGGTATATAGGGTTTAGGGTTTCCCAAAAATTAGGGGTCCCTTTGAAAGGATATAGTGGTCATATCTAAGGTGATATAGGGATTATATATGGTTTAGGGTTTCCAAAATGAGGGGCACCTTTAAAGGGAGCCATAGGGGTTACATATTATATAGGGGTTATTTTAAGGTCTAAAAATTTGGGGCACCTTTAAAGTGAGTTAGGGGGGCTATATATGGGGTTATGTAGGGTTTAGGGTTTCCAAAAATTAGGGGCACCTTTAGGGGGATTTATGGAGGCTAGATACGTGGTTACATAAGCTGGCGTCAAAATTACTTGTTTGTGGTAATGGTGGAATTTACTTAGGGTGCTCCGTATCGTTTGGCAGGTCTGGGAGAATTCCTGTTGGGGTATCGTGTTTAGGGTGCCCCGTATCGTTTTGCAGTGGTGCTAACATCTCTCTACCCGTTGAACAACCACCCTGACTACGCTATAACAACGGCAATTTTGACCCCGGCTCATATAATGTTCTATAAGGTTTATATAGGGTTTAGGCTTTTCCGAAATTATAGGTCCCTTCAAAAGTGGATATAGGGGTCATACAGGGGTATATAGGGTTCAGGGTTTCCCAAAAAATACGGCTCCCTTTAAAAGGGGATATAGGGGTTCTATAGGGGTATATGGTGTTTAGGATTTAGGCCATTTAGGCTTTCTCGTTTTCGGTTTAGGGGATTGGGGACTGCTCCCCTAGCAACAATTGGGTAAGAAATATAACAGCACCTTGCGGTGTTCACTCACAATTGCCGACAGAAATCCAACGTATGCATATGTCGGCTTTTTTTCCTGGGACCTCTCCAACGCAAGACTCCATAAAGTTCATCCCAACCGGCATATTATGTCACCCTTAGCCCGCGGGCCACGCGAGCGCAGCTATGGTATGGTGGGCATCAGCAACTCCAGAACAAAATGGAAGTTTCCCAAAATTAG